CTATATTACAATTTTTCCAATTAAGAAATTCCAAATCCTAAAAATTTCCAAGCTTTAGGATTAAAAAGATTCTTTGAATGAAATTGTTACTTTTTTTCCTGCAATTGCTGACTGACATAAAAAGAACAAACAGCAGGCATCAAGAGAGTTAGAACTAAATTTAGAAGTCTTTTTTTACAGTCTTTTTTCCTGCAATTGACTGACATAAAAAGAACAAACAGCAGACATCAAGAGAATTAGACTAAACTAAATTTAGAAGTAATTTATCCAATATATTGTTTTATTCATAAAGTAGCACTTCTCTCTTTCTCCATCTCTTATCAATAAAAAGCACAATTTTCACTTAGTTTCACCAGTACTAGTATTGGCATTAGTAATATTCAGTATCACTGTTCGAAATCAAAGATCCATCCCCAAAAGAGAGTAACTCGCTAATAAAATACTAAATGCATGAATTTGTACGTTCCTTTCTCTATTTCTTATCTCAATGAAGGTACAATTTTCTTCCAAAGTACAATTTTCACGTTGCCAACACGTCGTTATAGCACTAAGGTACAAAGAGTAAAATTGAGTGGCAAATTTAAAAAAAAAAAAAAAAAAAAGGAAGAAGAGGAACACCACTGTCCGCCCAAGTATTCCCAGGCACGGGGGAATTTTCCTTAAATTTTTATTGTTTCTAATTGAGGGGACGCATAATCGTTCTGCATTGCACGTGGAAACGATTACACGTAACCCAAGCCCAACAACACTCGAAGGAAGAAATCCTCGATCAAACATGTACACGTCACTTCCCTCGAATGTTGTTAGACATCGGTGCGTATGAAACGTCGTTTCTCCTTCGAACTTGAGTTGAAAGCTATCGCTATCGATTTGAATTTGGAAGCTAACGCTATCGACTGAGACTTGCCTCCCCTCTCCCCCGTCGTCGTCGTCGTCGTCGTCGATCGCACCGAAGAGAAAAGAAGTTTGCTTTGAATCGCGCATGTTTCGACGTCCAGAAGGTTTGTCGTAAAAATATCAAGACCTTCTCAACGGTCGTCACGAACAATCAGCGCGCCGGTTGCGTTGTGATTATTTTACACTGTGAGCTTGAATCTGAAAACCGTGAAAAATTACCGCACACGCGTATTTACAAAACGATCCGGACGAATGTGAAAAGTTATTCAGAAAACTTGACGTTCATTGAATTTAACGAGGCTGTTTCAATTCTACAATTGACAACTGACTAGAGCAATGAAACTACGTGCTATTGAATATACGCTTTTTTCTGGGATCGCACGGGCAATTGATCGAGTAAAAAAACGATCCTAGAAGAGGAGAATGTGTCGAAATTGTCACTTCAGTTTGGAGAAACGACGTTTCATGCGCACCGTATCTGATAACACTATAACAACCGGATGATACGCGTCCACGTGTGCGGCGTCACGTGATTCTCAGTTAGTTTAGTGACTGAAAATGAAATATACGTGCGTTCGTTTGTTTTCATTTATTTACACACTTAGTACCTCGAGTACCTCCTTGGTTCCTGCGGGTTCGTGGCCACTGATAATATATCGTTTTATACAGGAAAAAAAAAAAAAAAAATCACAATCTGTAAATCCTCAACACTTTCGTGGACAAGTCGGCGATCGTCGTTTTTTCTTTTCTTCTTTTTCTTTCTCTTTTCATTTGCTCCACTTTCCTCTTTGACTGTACACGTTGGAAAATTGAATTGCCGCGAGTATTATTGCATCGTTCTATAGACACGAATATTTACACATATTAATATGATATATAATTGCAATGGTGATCTCGCGTGCTTGAAAATTTCGATATGTCCACGAAGAGGTTAAATGAGAACCTGCCGGCCTCTCGTGAAAATTATTACTGAATAGTAGCCGGTCGTTATAGTGTTAAAAAAAACGACGGTCTCGATCGATCGTTCGAAGAAAAATTCGCATTCTTTTTCGTTGTCTTTTTTCAACTTCTCGTCTCTCGGCGAAGAAGATTTCTTTCTTTCGTTCTCGCGACGAAATTCTCTTTGATCATTCTCTCGATGTTTTCTTCACCTACGTTGACTTCTTTTTCGTCGTGATAGGAAAAGATATCAACCTAACCCAACACTTATTTTTCAATAATTTCACTAATTATTTTTCGATAATTGTTGAAGTAATTAAGCAAGATAATACAAGTCGATACGAGTGAAAACTTAACTTTGTTATGGAAAGAAGAAAAATGCGAGAGAATTTTTGAGAGAGAGAGAGAGAGAGAGCTTCTTCTGTCGGGCGACGAAAGAAAAAAAAAAAGACAGAAAGTACGCGAAAGAAAGCTTGTTTGTGTAGAAATTAGTGTCGAGTCTGCGTAAAAAAGAGAACACATGCGTTATTTCCACGTTTCTGCCGCTCGGTAATGATAAAAAACGAGTTTTTCCCCCTTTCGCTACTAACGCTAAATCGCTACCTAAAAAGGTTACCTAGACGGTAAATTCTCTCGTGAACATCTACTGGCTATCTAAGTTTCTTTTTTTTTTTTCCCTTAAACTAAAATCACACTCAGAACGTAATTATGGATTAGCCGCGTGCTCTCGTTCGGCCTCACAGTGCTTCTGAATTACAATCGTACAATGACGATCGTTAATACTAGAACTGTCGACGTTTAAGATGATTTGTTAACTTCTTTCTATGAAAAAAAAAAACGAACCTTTTAGAAATCCAAAATTCTAAAAAAAGATTCATCATTGCTGCGTGTGTTTCTTGGATTACTAAAATTTAGTTTTCGCGGATTTAGAATTCGATTCTGAAATTAATCTCTCTTCCTTTTTCTCTTTTTAACAGGCGGTCAATCGAGAAATTGCGCTACTTGATTTTTTTAAAGCTACATTTGCTGTTGTACAATAATAACAATGTTTGGAATAAAAGTTCGTACGTTCTAGTTCAGATTCAGATTTTATATACCCTAGTGCGTAGTTCTAGCATTAACTATTATACTGTCTTTACCGCGAAGGCGTGAAACACCTTCTCGTTAGGACAATTGCAGTAGGCGGCCATCATGCGTGAACAACGTCGTTACACATAAAAAATAACTAATCGTAAGTGGGTTCAAACGCGAATCACGTTTCTGACGCGTTTCAGGTTCGCGAAACAACGTAATCAGAAAGTAGAAGGTTCTGATTCCCCCAGAGGCCACAATTCGAGCGCGATCGTTCAAGTTTGAACAAAAGAACGGTGAGAAAGTAATAAACAAAGCGAGATCTCGCACGGAAGCGCTCTTATATATATATATATATATATATATATATATATATATATATATATATATATATAAAATTCGCGGTAAATTAAACTAGAACGTCTATTCAATATCTATACATCAAAGACGACTCCTCTATCTATGGACGATATCGAACAAATCTCAATCTTCCATTCTTCATGAGGGATGAACGTCTCTCTCTCTTCTCCCAGTCCAAGCCACGAATGACGTCTCCCTGTCCCCTTTTTTAAGCTCCTTCTTCTCAAGTCCACCAAGAGCACCAAGTTTCGCTTGGCGCTTGCCACGTGATTCGTCGGCAGTGCGTTGATTTATTGGAATTAAAATCGATCGTACGATCCTCAGCGAATTGAGTCCACCGTCGTCGTCGTCGTCGCGTTGTTCTATAGGAATCCGCGCGATTCCTAACGAATCCTCCGAGACATCGATCCGAAAATCTTCTCGAATTGTCGAGAAGAAATTTAAATGTGTCCTGTTTTTCTCCTTTCTTTTTTTCTTTTTTTTTTTTTTTTTACAAACAACCAGCTAACGTCTCAGTGAAAATAGCTGTTGATCGGGGATGACACGTCGCGGGAGAACCTCCCTAGAAACGGAGAACCTCCCTAGAAATCTCGGCTTTTCTTAACGTGAGCGAGAGTTCGAACGGTTCTTCTCTCCTGCCCCGTTTCTAGAGAGGTCTGTCAGGTGGATCTCTCGGCTGTAAACAAACTAAATACACGCAGCGACGCGACACGGAAGCTGAAGACCAGCTTTCGCGTGTCCACTGCACCTTTTTTGAGAAACGAAGGAAGTTCCTTCCCTGTCGCGAGTGCGAACGACGCTGTGTCTTCTTCGAAAAGTGTCGTCGACGCTTCTGTAGATCAGCGTAGAGCCCGTGGACGCGGTTCGATTCAGATTCTCTTCGCTATTTACAACTGGTCTTCCCTTTCACTCGAGCACGTCGAATTCCGCTACTTAAACTGGTCCGTTTATTAAGAACGACGCACGTCCGAGGTCTTAAAACATTCTGCCCAAATGAAGGGTGCCCTTGGCATTCGTAGAGAACCTTGCATCGAATCCAATTCCCCTTGAGACAGATCCCATTCCTGAGAACTACGTATCCTCTTCCTCGGTCGTAATTCCAATTTTCCCACTAGGGATCCCCAGGTTCGGAGTTGTTGAAACAGTCTGCCCAAGCAAAAGGGCCTACGAAGATTCGAACGATTTCTCGTAGAGACGATTCCGGCTGATACATCGCTCGGATACGTCACGCGTCCTCTTCTCCCCCGAGGTCTTCCAAGGTCACCGACTATTCCTCGAAACAGATCTCCCTCACTTGGAATCAGGGAGAGCTTCGAAGATCGCCACCTCTGATATCCACGGCTCTACTATCGTCTCGCGACTCTGTCCCTTCCATGTTCGTATTCTCTCGAATTCTCGGACGCGACGGTTCGCTCAGAACCGCTAATTACAAGCTTTCTAGCCTTGGCGCGCTTCGATTCACGCATTTGTATGTACACGTACGAACCGTTGGCGAACAACGAAGCGTGCAAAGTCTGCAAAGCAAACGGAAATCAAAAGAAGACTGGCCCGTCTTTTCGACTCTCCCTTATTACTAACTACGTGCACGTCGTCCGTGTCTCTTCTTTGTCCCCTCCTCTTTCAACCCTCGAAAAATTGTTGAAATTTCAATCCCTCGAAACTGATTCATCTTCCTCCAATCTTATAGCCACATTCCTCGACTGTGCTCTTCGTATCGTGTGCCGTTTCCTTCCTTTCTTTTCCTCGTGTGTGTCGATCCACACTCTTCTCCCTAGGCTCCCTCTCTTATGTATACAGCGGTATGTATAATATATATTTATAGATATCTATATACATATACGTGTCTATGTATATACATATCAGCTAGTCGAAAATTGAAGCTTCAGTGCTCGGCAGTCTATTGTCTCTCTTGGCTCTTCTTCTCCTTCTTCTTCATTGTCCTCTACTTTTTCTTTTTCTCCGAATTCGCTCTTCTTTCCTCTTTACCTCTTTCCCTGGCCTGTAACTTTCTCTCTTTCTCTCTCTCTGTCCTATCTTCTCGTTTCACACGCGTTCGTCCATTTACATTCTAAGTCCCTCTCTTTCACTCTCTCCTTCTTCTCCTTCTTCTTCTTCTTCTTCTTTTTCTTCAGGCTGTCGGGAATTCTTCAGCGTGCATCTTCGTGTGAAGCGAGTACTCGTCATCATCAGCGTTCGCGATTTCGGAGACGATTTTTATTCCCACTGGTGAGGAGATGGTGGCAGTTCCGAGGGATGAGCCACCGTGGAGCTGCAAGTCGTACAAACAGATCATTAGTGCTTGTCGCTTTAGAGAAAACAAGTCTTTGTTTTTTTTTTATTGTGGTTTTTTTTTTTTTTTTTGTTTGTTTTTTTTTTTTTTTTTTTTTTTTTTTTTTTTAGTTAAGTTAGTTAAGTTCA